TCTTTAAAACTTCTCATGACGTCATTAAACTCTATTACCAACTTTCTTTGCTGGATTCTGTTTTTTTTTTTAGTTTCGTGCTGAAACAGAGTTTAAATAGCTCCTTCTTTTGGAAAATTTGAAGTCTTTTGGGGCTAAAGTTTGAATTTTTAGTACTGGGTTTTGAGATTGAAGGATAACTATATAAGTATTACAGCTAGGAAGTTCAAACTATATAAGGATATATAACAATTTTTGTAGACCATGAGACCATGAGTTCAACACTTTTTTGGTAGAAATCAGGTTTGTTCAGCTTGTGGACTTGCTCCTTCTAAATGTTATTGAGAAAGAGACACGCCAAACACATTGTGCTAAAGTTGGTACACACCTTATTCAATGTTTCAGACATCTATATACAATACATGATAGTACACACCTTCAAACACTCTTTTTTTTTTAAAGTCCATTAACCATCAATTGTTTTGGATACATCTATCTTTGACTAAGATTTAGAATTGTTTCGGTTAAACTATTTAACATCTCGTAAGGTAGTTAAATTATTGTGTTTGGGTTCCTTTTACGAACTAATAGGGTTTAGTTTTCCTCTTTTAGATATTTTATTAATGAACATTCCATTGTAGATACATCCGGTTTGGCTTTACTCGTCCTTAACTAGGGTTTAGCGTTTTCTCGTTTAGCTATTAGCATCTCGTAAAGTATTTAAAATATTGTATTTTTGTTTTTCATTTACAGTTTGAGTTTGAGTTTTCCTCTTTTAGATCTTCTTAATGAATGGTCCATTATAAATAAATTGGTTGTTGTTCACTAGTCCTTGATTAGGATTTAGCATTGTTTCGTTTACACTTTTATTATCTCGTAAAGTAGTTAAGACATTGTGTTTGGGTTCCCTATTTACAATCTACTAGGGTTTAGTTTTTCTCTTTTGAAAGTTCTTTTATGAATGGTTCATTTTATATTAATCGTTTTGGTTCCTTATTTAAGCTTAACTTTTTCCTTACGACTGATTATATATCAATGTGTGTTTTCATGAACAATTTTATGTTCATGGACAAAAAGCCTTTTGTAGGTTTCTGTCGATGTACTAAATGTCGTATATTTTTAACGAGTAGTTCTTTTTAAATGTTATTGTTTTCATGTTAAGTCCACCAAACAGGGAAGAGTCCACCATTTCTGAGCACCACAATTCTTCATCATTCAAGAGAACTCCCTCTCTCTTCTGACATATGGCTTAATATCAGTGAGAAACAGGGGATAAGGGCAAAATCGTCTTAGCTTGTGCAGTTTTGATGGAACTATTTACGTCTACAGTAAAAAAGGCTCAAATCCGAATATGCCTGTCGAAATGTGCCTCTTTTGACAAATCTCCCATATTAAAATCTACTAATTTCGTTTGTACGACAAACAAAAGATATTGCTTGTTGCGTATACAAACAGACAAAAACTCTTAATAACACCAGATTCTTTTAATTAGTACGTTTTAAACTCTAACAATACCAAATAAAAAAAAAAGAAAATCCAGTTAAACTCATGGTTTCATGTTTTCCTGTTTACTGTATATACATATGTGTATAATTAAACACTTTTATGCATGTATAGTAGTTAGTTATATCTTATTTTTTATAGTAGTTAGTTATATCATGTTTGTGATTTGTATGTTCAACTTTATATGAAAATAATTATATTTTGTTGCTAATCAAGGTTTTTGATTAAGAAAAGGAGTTTGGACATTTCTACAAATACATACGTGGCCTTTTTGGCCAACACCTAAAGTTCCAAAAAAGGGGCCAAAAAATAAGCAACAAGTTTTGATTCTCTCGTAACTTCCCCCAAAAATCAGCAGAGCGAGAGCGATCGGTTATGGCGGCGACGGAGCATCACGGCCTCAGTGGAGGAGACTACAATGTCGACCTTTTACCAATTGACGAAGACGATTCGCCACCATCTTCATGGCGTCTCAGCCTCGACACATTTCGCCTCCCTTCTTCTTCTCCGTTATCATCTGGCCGCCACAACGGCCGTACTCGCTTGTCTCGTTATCTCCGGACTCCGAGTAAGTTTCTCTTCCTCGTCCTTGTCTTCAAATCTCCGTTCCTGCGTTGCGTTTCGTCTCTATGTGTATAATCGATGTACTGTTACGTGTTTACATGATTCACGCCAGAAAATGTCACTCTAATCTCCGATTACTCTTTTTCCTTTGGAACCTGTTCAGTACAGAAATTGATTATTTAACCCTACGCAATTGGTTGTAGTATATACGTACGCTGTATCCAATAGGTGAACCCTATGAAATTCTACAGTGATTTTATCGAATTTTCTGTTTGAAAGCATCTGTATTGATTCAAAAGTAATTTAAGCTTTCTATTTTGCAAAATCCTCTGTTTTCTTTGAAGCATATATGAGATTCTAAGTGAATCTGGGAATATTCTTTTGGTTGTGCAAGCAACATTGGGGAAACATTGTCATTTCTTTATTTCTAGTGTCATAGGGACACAGAATCATATTCCTTCGGAGTTTTTACGCATTGTAGATTGATGTTATCATGATAAAAAACCATTAAGTATCGAGATCGTTATACAAGTTTGAATCATCAGTAAACAGGTTACCTAAATTTTAACATGGGTTTTACTCTTTTCTCTTGTAAAAAATCAGAAAAGGAACGCAAAGTCTCTGAGTACTACAAGCAGCAAGAGAAGCTCCTGGAGGGTTTCAATGAGATGGAGTCAATTAACGAAACTGGTTTTGTATCTGGAGCTCCAACTGAGGTACCACTCTTGCTTTCTTAATTTAGGCTTCTTCTGAAAATCTTTCACTTAGATCTTTCGTCCAGTTT